GCCCGGCTTGTACAGAGATTGGAGAGAAGATTGCTATCAGCCGGAGAATTGACAAGCATTGGCGTCTGATCGGCTGGGCCAATATTGTCGCGTAAGTCTTCCTGACTACCTATCGTTGATATGGATTCATATAACTAATTTGTTACAGTGGTAACACTCTTGAGCCCATTCTGAACTAGGCAAAATTCGCTTGTCAAGTCAATTGGTCGACCCGCTCGTGGAGCTGTTGAGGCAGACATTTGGGGTCCTAGCTCACTCGCATTCCCCGATTTGTCGCTGGCAGATCTAGGCAGTGGAAGCAGCAGAGAAGAAAAAGTTGATTACTCGAGGTCACGAAGAGCGTCGGGATTCACTCCAGTTTAGAGAACACAGGAAGCTCCGACATACATCTCTTCCAGCCGTCGGAGCTCTGAGGAGGTTGTTTACGAGATGCAGAGACGGCCGTACTCAAGGGGTTCTTAAAAGGTTAGAGGCCGTCTGTTTTGGTAGAGACATGGGTGCATAAAAGAATGGGTCACGTTGATGAAGTGCCACTACTTCTGTGATGTGTTTTATGAAGCTGTTCTTATGTGAAAACTTTCTATTTTCTTTTATATATTTATTGCTTTGTCTCCTACTGTGGAGTACATATGTAGATGCTTTGCCAGGTAACCGATGAAGTATCTAAGCGAACAACAGGATGGGGAGGAGTTAAGAGTTAACCATATGACCAAAGTTGGATATGCGATATATACAGAATAGACTATCAAGCCAGTTATAGTCCCTAGATCTCAAAGATCGTTTCCATTCATGCCCTGAAGAGTATGCGGTTGAACATTCTTTGTTCTGTCAGCTGAAGATGCGGCCAGTTTGCACTAAGTGGTGTTGACTAAGACATAATATTAAATCACCATCCATCGAGCGGGAGTACTTGCATCTGTCAACACCACAAGGCAGCGAACAACAGGTTAACAACACAGCGCCTTGTTCAAATCGCCTGTTGTTGTGCTGAATTTTCAGCCATGTATATCCTCGAGGTAAGCTCTTCGAGCTCGTCCCTTTCTAGCCACCTAACTATATTCTGTTGATATTGTTCATGCTGTACCTTGCTTGCTCAAGCTGACCGAACGATTCTGCCCTTGACAGCAACTCGCGCGTCTTCTGGACCGCCCGCTCTTCCCCTGGAAGAATGTTCTCGTGGGTTTCTCTTTAGGTCAATTCATTCTCGAAGGATTCTTGTCCTTCCGGCAATACAAGGTGTTGCAGCGGACAAAGCCACCCAAGGTGTTGGAGAATGAAGTGTCACAAAAAGTCTTCGATCAGAGTCAGGTGAGCAGAGATGGTAATATTGCTAATGTAATATTGCGGGTCTGATGTGTTCGTCCTTCTCTATAGGCGTATGGTCGCGCAAAAGCCAAGTTTGGTTTCATCTCGGGTCTTTACGGTCAAATCCAGAATCTTGCATTCATCTACGGCGATGTCCTCCCCAAGCTTTGGGGATTGAGCGGTCTCTTGCTAGCCCGGTACTTCCCCTCTCGGTTTCAGGGTGAGATTTCCCAGACGCTTCTGTTCATCTTCGGTTTCAACCTAATCAGCACCGTCCTGTCCCTGCCAATTTCATACTACAATACCTTCGTTCTAGAGGAGAAGTTTGGCTTCAACAAGCAGACCCTCAAGCTCTGGGTCACGGACATGCTCAAGGGTCAGATGCTGGGAATTGTATTGGGAACCCCGATCATCAGCGCCGTGCTTAAGATCGTCCAGAAGACTGGCAACTCGTTCTTCTACTACCTGTGGCTCTTTGGTGTGTTCGTTCAGGTCTTCGCTATCACCATCTACCCCATTGTCATCCTGCCACTGTTCAACAAGCTCTCGCCCCTAGAACCTGGCGATTTGAAGACAGGCGTTGAGAACCTCGCCCGCAACCTCAACTTTCCTCTCCATGAGCTGTATGTCATAGACGGCAGCAAGCGGAGTGCTCACAGCAACGCGTACTTCTACGGCCTGCCGTGGAAAAAGCACATTGTCATCTATGATACTCTGATTGAGAAGAGTGAGACTGAGGAAGTCGTCGCCGTCTTGAGTCATGAACTTGGTCACTGGAGCCTCGGCCACACTACTAAGCTTTTCGGTATTGCTCAGGTACGTGTTTACTGAACAGCTTCTTGATATCGCCCCCTTATGGAGACACAGACGTGCACAGATGAAGGCTAATGGTCTATGTTATAGTCTCACATGTTCTACATCTTCGCCCTATTCTCGGTTTTTGTGAACAACAAGTCCCTGTATCAATCATTTGGCTTCTACCAGGAAATGCCCATCATGATTGGATTCCTCCTGTTCTCAGATGCTCTGGCTCCCATGGATGCTGTCGTCAAGCTCTTGATGAACATTCTCAGCCGCAAATTCGAATTCGAAGCTGGTATGATCCCTGTCCTCTTGTACCTCTCTAAAAACAGACTCTGACTGCGCCACAGATGCCTTCGCCGTGAAGCTCGGGTATTCCGATCAGCTTGCCGCGTCGCTTCTCAAGCTTCAGATCCAGAACTTGAGCACCATGGACGCTGACTGGATGTATGCCAGTTACCACTACTCTCACCCAATTCTATCCGAGCGACTCAAGGCGCTTGGCTGGCAGGGAGGAAAGGTCACCGACGCGAAGACGGACGATAGTGAAAAGCCGGTCAAGGCTGCTGACCGGGAGCTCTAAACTCAACCGATTATCCTCGCTCGTTATAAGTCCTTTATCTCCTGTTTCGTTCCGTTCACTGTGTTAGGTGGCGGCTGGGGTAAACGGTGTCCGTTGGTTGTAGAGCAAAGGTCGAATTGATTCTAGTATAACAGCAAACTCCATACCCTGTGTGATGTAATATCATCCAAAAACAAACGCCAATAGCAAGACACGGGTCCTGTTGATTGAGAACCAACCAATTGGACGGAAAATCCATCAGAAGAGCGATGCAAGTAACCCAAATGAAGCTTCCAGCCGTTTTCAATCTATGCATCCGCGCCCTTGGCTTTAGCTCTCTTCTCAGCCAACCGGCGCTCCTTCTTCTTCCTCTTCCGCTCCTCTTTGTCCACGGTATGCTCGTCAGCCTCACCCTCTACCCGCCCAAGCTGCTGCTCTTTCTCCTCGTCATCTTCCCCACCCATCTCCTCCTCATCGTCATCCATCGCATCATCAGCAGCCACCTGCTCATGCTTGCTCGGATCCTCCCACACGACATTATCCCCGCTCTCTCCCTGCAGCGCCTCACCTGCATTGATCTTCGCCAGAGTCAAATCACGGCCCAGGACCTCGCCAGCCAATCCAGCCTGGACGCGCTTCAGGTTATGCAGGATGAGGTTCGGCGCTGCGGCTGTGGTGCGGGAGATGGGGCCGTGCTCGCTGATGCTAGCGTTTGGTTGCAAGGCTGGATCTGTGGCAGCGCGGTCGAGATAGGCGGCGAGGAAGTCATGGGCGGCGGACTGGGAAATGGGTTTTGAGGAGAGGATTGTTGTTGGAGGAAGAGGGGAGGGGCCTTGAGTTGCCATTTTGATTCTTTTGAGGCTTGTTGTCCGCCCGATTGATTTCGTGGAATGTAGATCGGATTGGTTGGCAATGAAAAATGCAGTGTCGCAAGTGGATGGTTGACGGAGAAGTTTGGTGGCTTGGCACAATTGATGAGCGTATATCGCAGCGGCCGTGGATGGATGGTTTCTTGTGTAGAATGCACTCAGAGAAATTGAATGTAGCGAAAGCGATAGGAATGAAGGTCTAACCATGAAATCTTGAAGCATCAAATTGAAAAGAAATATACTGGTCCGTGCGTCCGCCGCGGCGGAGTCAATTTTCGTCCGCCTCAACACTCAGTCTATGTCCGATAGCCTCAGACTCGGCGACCATCACCGTCTCCGCAATATTCAGCGGTCCGTTGAATACCTTCCTGGCAGAAACCGATCACAAACTACTTAATTGTTCAGTTCTTGTGAAACTTCGACATGCTCTGCTTCCAATGTAGGGCCGTGCCCTCCGCGCTGCGAACTGCAATGCGCTCCCAGCCGTTCAGGTACGTCCTGCTCATACGATCTAAGCATCCTCTCGACTTTCAAGACATTTTGCTGGCTATCATGTCACTCTAGGGCTCCAAGTTAACAATTAAAGCAACAGACTCCCGGCTCAGACTCTCACCACCTCCTTATCAACACCACTCCGCACTTTTTCCTCCGCCCTCCGTTCACAACCGACCCCGTTGACACAGAGTCTCCCTTCTTTCCGCACATCTCTCACATCCGCCTCTTCGTTGTCATTCGGCCTGACGCAGCAGACTCGGTCATTCTCCGCCAGTGCGTCGCTGGCCGGTAGACGTGCTACCTACAATCCCTCGCGAAGAGTGCAGAAACGTCGTCATGGGTTCCTTGCGCGGCTGCGGTCGAGGGGAGGGAGGAAGGTTCTCCAGCACCGGAGAGCGAAGGGACGGAAGTCGTTGAGTTGGTAATTAGTTCGCTTTTTGCGGTGGTCATTGTCTTCAAGAGAATTGTACGGGAATCGACATGGGCTCTGTCTGGATGGTTGTCGAGTCTTGGTTGATTTGAGATGATGCAGTCTCGATTCTTTCCAGGCTTATCCGGATTATTCCTGTGGTCATCGTGGTTGAGAGAACGGGATAGCTGTTCCGATCACTCTGGTGATCCAGATCGATGGGATCGCTGGTGTGCATCTTGTGTTTGCCGGGACAAGATGCTTTTTTCATGTGTACTATATACATACAGATATCAGCTCCTTACATTACACTTCGGTTTGCGTCTATTACACATATGGTCCGTCATTCTAGGGCCAGAATCTGGACCAAACAAGCCTTCAGACCTTCACATCTTTTATATACAAGCAAACGATCAATCAGGCAGCAGCATAGCGCAAACTCTTATTTCCATCAGGGCGCAGATTCTTCTGATATACATACTAAAAGTACTTCGGGTATAAATGCTAAAATCGCGGAGACAAATCATGCAGATGTAAACACCACTCATCTATCTCAGTCTCACCGCACCTCGTGCATTCCCGTGTGGACGCCGTCCAGCTCCGCTACAGCCGGGTGTCGCTGCTGCTGCGAGTCTAGCTCAGAGGGATATTGCTGGGCTCGAGCCACTGGAGGATAGACGCCGAAGGCGTCTTTCTGCGACCCTGGCAAGAAGGAGGAATTGTTCTGCTCCGTTGCGAGTCGCTTCTTCCGGCGCAAGCGCAGCACAAACAGCGCGAGCAGACATCCTATGATGACAACGCCTACCCCGACACCGACACCGACGCCGATCGCAACATTTGTCGTCGAGGCTGAACTTGAACTGTGCATATCGTTCGAATTTGAGCCCGCGCTCGTGGTGGGGGTTGACGTGATCGACGTCCCCGTGCTTGTTGTTGTTATTGCCGCGGATGATTTACTGGAGGACTCTGTCATAGTTTTCGCGGTCGAGGTAGGTTCTATACCCGCCGTCGCAGTGATGGTGGGTTCGTCCAGAGTGAATTTCAAGTACGAAGCCTTGGTACAGCAGTCATCTGCAGAGCAGCAGTAGTTGGTGGTGGTATTGCCGCATCGCATCACCCATTCCCCACCAGAGGGATTATCTGCAGGAAGAGTTCGAATGAGTGAACACGGCCAATTAGTGGGTTGTGTCTCGAGGCTCACCTGCAACACAGTGTCCCTGGCATTCAGGCGCAGCCCACGTCTTGTCCGTGCAGGTCCCTCTGATGAACTGGAGGGGATTGCCGTCGGAGCCATCCCACCAGCCTGCGGGCTGGCAGAGTTGATTGGAAGTGCAGAGGAAGCCCTGCGTACAGCAGACACTGGCCGAGGCTGACGCGTTGCATGGGCGATCGTTCGATATCGTTCCGTCAGGTGTATAGCAATTCGTCGCTGAGACGGAGGGGACCGTCGAAAGCAATGCCAGAAAAATGAAGCTGGCATTGACCTGGCGACGAAATAATAGCCATCTCGATGTCATCGTTGCTGCCAGTGACAGTGCATCAAGCTTTTAGCGCAAACCGACTACTGACTCGAAGTGATTTCTATACAACGAAAGTACTCAATCTCAGAGAACTATGACACCGAAGTAATCGGGTATATTGTTGGGGTTGTTGGTTATCTAATGGTCATCATTAATTAGTTATGCTGTGCGGCGCAGCTATCCTACACCCCGGCGCTTAATGCACCATCAGCTCCAATCACAACTGGCAGTATGGAGCTGCTTGATCAAGTTTGCGCCTAGTGAGACGACTAAGGCAGCCAATACTGTGCTACTGGCTCGGGGCTAATATATGGTGAATTGCATGCGAATCAGGACCTCTCCGTCCAATCTACACTATCTATCTAGATTGCTGTATAAACGGCTCGAAAAGTCCAAATGTCCCGTTCGAGGTCGCTTAAGAATGATACCAGGTTTGCTCTCTTTACGCTTTTCTGGTAGGAGAAGCACCCGTGGGGTCTAACAGTGAAAGTAGAACTCTTGTCTAAGTCGTGAGGTATACATCCGTTCGGACAGTGCCTCACTCAACGTCATCATAAGTCGCATCACTCGTTATCATCAGATTCTTCCTCATCTTCCGAGCCAGATTCGGATGCATCATCGTCATCATCGTCATCATCTTCGTCGTCGGATTCTTCGTCTTCGTCGCCATCAATTTTCAATCCATAGTCATCTTCAAAGTCCTTCAGTGGCTGCACCGCAGGAGTGAAACCAGCCGCTTCAAGGCCCTGTTTGATTGTCTATATAAAGAGTAAGTATCTGTAGCTCACAAGCATTATTCCACGCATGCAGGGGAACTCTTACCTCTTCGAGGACAGGTGCACAGGTGACAACAAGGTTCGCCTTGTCCGGAGCGAACAGCGGCAGGATGATTTCGCGCAAGGCTGCCTTGACGTCTTCGACACTAGTGACTCGTACCTGTTTGAGCGTCTTTTCCTTGTAGTCGCTGGGCAGATTGCGAATGACCTGACGAATGAAGCTGCCCTGCGCCGCACTGGCGATGGTCGACTGCTCGTTGGCGAAGCTGACAACAATGCTGCTGATAGCTCCCTCTAGCATTAAGGGGTCAAAGGGGATTGCACCAGAGAGGTGGTCCTCAACAATCTGTTTACTGGACTCGAATGCCTTGTGTGCATTTGGTGACCGATATACATCGAAGTTCACAAACCCGGTGTCGATATTATAGGCGAAGTTTGTACCGTATGCCAAGCCCTTGCCACGGACGGCAACCCAGAGAGGACCCTCCACGGCATTCATATACGCAATGGCAACCAGAAGAGCGGGGAGCTTGGGGTGATCGTACGAGTCAAGACCTCGAGCAGTTGCGTAGGCAAAGGACGAGTCAACCGTCGGCATCGGAACGACATACGACTTTCCACCAGGGGTGCGACCGGCCTCGCTCAGCAAGTCCCTGCGGACAGTGACGGGCTCCAGAGTGGTCACATCACCGAGTCGCTCAGCATACGGCTTCCAGGACGAAACTGGATTGGGCAGCTTGTCAATGTCTGCGATGACCAGAACTCGCACGTTCTCAAACTTGAAAAGAGCTTGTCTGATCTCTTCCATGCGAGCAACAACAATCTCGGGTTGCTCAGCCAATTGTCGCTTGATCCGTTTCAGATACCGCGCCTTGACCAAGGTGCTCCGCGCCCGCACGATGGATTCAGGCGCGTAGTGAACCATGACATGCACAGCTGCCAGCATATCATCACCACTACGCTTGGCGTCGGGCACGTCAGCAAGGAGCCGACTGTTGATCGCGCGCAGTCTCTCCACATCAAAGACTGAGTTCCAGGAGAGCTCCTCAAGCCAGGCAATTGCACTGCTATACTTCTCAATTTCAACCTGGAAAGAGATGCGCAACATCTCCGAATTACCCAGGCTTCTTGCACCCTCCATCGAATAGCCAACAGTATCCCTTTCCAATTCTACCACAACTTGTTCGAAATTGATCGTTTCTCCATCCCGTTGGACGGGCAGGGTGAAGAACGCCTCCGTATACACAGACAGAAGGGGACGAAGGTGGACTGGCACCGACTGAGCCGAGATAAGAAGTGAAAGCTGAACGAAACTACTGGGTATATGTTCAAAATGGATGAATAGTGGCAGCTCCGAGCCATCGGCATCCACCAGTTTCTGAGTCTTGTTATCCGCGCGGCCGGCTATCAAGGCAGCACCGGATCGGGCCGTCGTTGTCTCCACGAAATGGATAGATTCAGTACCGGGAATTTTGAACTTTTCCAGCATCTCTTTAGGAATCTCTTTATCATTTTCGGCCTTTGCCTTCTCCAGTTTGTCGGCCAATTCCTTCAGGCCCTCGGGTCCGAGTCGCTTCTTCTGAGCTGCGACTCTGGCCTCTTCCTCTTTCTTCAAGGTTTCGGACATCTTCATTGATGGCACGCCAAGTATAGTGACATGTGGTGCATCCGAAAGCCACTTCTTGATGAAATTACGCCATTCATCTTCACTCCACTTCTCCAAAACGTCGTACTCTTGCAAGGTTGCAACGTCCAGCAACGTTGAGCCATCCTTCTTTCCGAAGAGGAAGTCAGAGATGACATACTCCGCCAAAGAAGAAGCAGAGTTCTCAGTAGAGAACTTCCAAGTCCGCTTTTGGCGGTCGATGCATTCTTTCAGATACTTCATATCCAAATCCTTCTTCATGGCGTCAGCAAGGACCTCGAAGAATCGTTTTTCCACCTGAGCGAGTTTGGCGGTTTCAACACTGGTCAGAGTGAAGCGGATTTCGACACTTGGATGATCTTCCGTAGCATAGTAGACAGCACTGGCAAGTTGTTCCTTTTCCACAAGAACATTCTCTAGAAGTGAAGCCGACGACCCAGCCAGGTACAAAAGTGCGACGTTAAGAGCACCGGCTTGTACATGTAAGCGATGGATCACAAAAAGGATGAAGACGCGGGGACTCACTTTGTACGGGATCAGTGCAATCGGGACCCAAAAACCTGATTTCTATTTCACCAAAAGATTCGTCTTCCTCAGGGAATTCAACAGTCTTCACAATCGACTTCTCCAACGGAGGAGCTTGCTTGGAATCTACCCATGGTCGTCTGAATGGCGAATCAGGACTTGGAATAACATCCAGGATAGTGTCTTCGAATTTGTCAAGCGTTTCTAGCATATTGTCATGGTCCACCTCACCCGTGATAATCAGACACAGGTTACGAGGTTGGTACATCTCACGATGAAACGCACGAATTCTCTCCGCAGTGAGAACACGAAGCTGCTCCATCATGCCTCCGGTCTCATAACGAAAGCCTACGCCAGGTGGGTACATCAGGCGTCGAGCCGTCAAGTCAATCAGCTCGGCGGCGTTGTTTTGCACTCCTTGCATCTCCGAATATACGACTCCGGCGTCGTTACCGGAACCGTCAATGTGGTGCACTTCTGTGTAGCAGCCTTCATTTGTCAGAGTAGGTGCAATCACATGCTCCAGGTAGACAGGCAAGATCTGAGAAAACCCCTCCCAGCCCGCGGTATCCAGCGTGTAGGCTGTGTGATCTGTGGCCGTCCAGGCGTTTGTGTTAGAATACACTCGCGTAGCAAGCTTGTCTAGGAACCCCTTATATCTATAATTGCGCGATCCCATGAAACACAGATGCTCCAGAGTGTGCGGGGCTCCTGAATCATCCACGATCTCTGTGGCAAGGACAAAGTACCCGGTCACCTTGGGCCCTTTCTGATCAATGACCACGACTCTCATCCCGGTTCTCTCGGATTCATATTGAATGAACTCGCTCGGCGAGTAGTCAGGCTTGAACCTCTGAAGTAATTTAAAGTGAGTCTTCAGGTTAGAGGATGACATAATGCCGTATGACATGAACGGAAACTCTTTACGGTTTCCGATCCTCCAAATACTGCTGAACAAATCTCGTTGAGACAATCTAGTACAAAGTCAGTAATTGAAGGACCTTTTAAAGTATGAGCAACATCTGTCATCGGAAAACAGTAGAGGAATGACTGGTTCAATGAAAGAAACGGGAGCTGCACCCATTCCATGACTGGCATCCAGATAACAGAAACGCAAATATCAACGAAAAAGAGCGACTGGCTTGTATAATGCTGCAAATAACACGTTGGACGTGGACTCTTGTGACGCTATGGCATAGCACACGCTTCGAAGCGGTGTTGACGTCGATATAACGCCGGACAGAATCTTTTGATTCTCCAATTGTGCTCGGTAGAGACAACAAGTGTACTGTACTCACATAGATCGAGTAGAACACGCCCGACTCAGGCCTCGCTGGAAAAGCTGAGACAACACGACGGAGTAAGCGGCGCTAACACTGCTGTTTTAGGTGAAAAAAGAGCTAGGATCCTAGACAGTTGCAGCTGTCGCCGAACTTGAGGATCCTCCGAGAGTGGAGTTTGGGTCCCGTTCCCTAAGATCAACCATGCCAATAGCATACAAGTGTCTCAACAGACGACGTCAACCAGGCGCGAGTGACTGAAGGCTCAGCAATTTACAGCATTAATAGATGTCCTCAGTGCCAATCAGCAAATCAATCAAATTTTCATCGGTTAGTTTATGTAGGTAGAGTACAGCTCGTGGTGAGACTTCTTCAGCTTATCCAGCTAAGGCGGTGAATCTGACGCTGAAGTCACATGGCGGGGATTGTTATTATGAACAGCAAGGTCGCTTCTTCCAGCTACTACCAGCACTGAAGCTCATAGCTTTCCCTGCCCAGGGTATATCATCAAGCGCTGCGGACAGTATATCGCCCAGTCAGAGCCGGAGGTTACCTCTGGGCTATATTTCAGGACAAGCTCAGACACTAGAGACCCGAAAGATGTCTCCACAGGCGTCGGAGCAGAAGATTTACCAGTCGGTACTGGATTTCGTCACAGAAGGCACCTTTCCAGGCTCGGAAGACGTTGTATCATCAGTATTTCCTACGTCAGCTCTGGCTACAGAACTGGAGCTTATATCGAATGCAAGGGAGCAGGTCGAAGTACGTGTT